ACCATTGATTTAATTTTTCTATCTTTACTTTGAAAAATCGTTATATGGAAAAAAAATGAAAAATTTGTTTCGGCTGAGTCAATTTTTTGAACCCGCTCTAATACAACCAACCGTTCCTACGGAAAGTGAATCTTTATATGATGAAATCGTATTATTTCCAATATGTTGTGTGGTGAAACGTGATTCATAACAGTAAATTGAATTAACCCGACCGAATTTAAATCACGTAGGGTAATTTTTCGAACACCGCCACATATAAAGATTTTGAGGAAATGTAACTCCTTATGGGCCAAAAACGCATTCGCAATTGAGTCCATTAAGAAAATGTGATTCTAAATAGGCTGGTAAAGTATAATAAATAAAACGCTTAAGACTTCTATGCTCCTATTATGGATTGTATATATATCCGTAAAAGCTTAATATACTTCTATCATAACTGGCAAGGATGTAAAGTTACATTGAAATTGAAACGAGCCAAGGTGCAAACCAACAATTCGTTAACAGCAGAGCTTTGTTGAACGAAATCTCGCAGGTATTTAAATGAAAATGTAATGAAAATAGAACTTTTTTGTGAAATTTTTCAAAAATATTATAAATAATAATTATGTTAATTAGTTTTTATACTTTTTATACTATGTCAAATATGAGGCGGAAAAAGTGAAAGTTTGCTTAACCAATCGATAACCTTTGCAACGATGTATCATATTTCATAAAAAGTTTCCTTCGGAGACATTCTTTTTTTTTTTTTTTGATTCTTTAAACATTTGTTCCATATAGCATAGCTTTGCTTAACACAACTGCTAAATGAAGAGTGTGAAGTTATTTTTAAATGTAACTAGCAAAGGAACAGATTAACAATTTTAACAGAGCTCTGCCTTGGAAGGATCTAAGTCAAAATATAGTAAATATAGAACTTTTTGTGAATGTTTTTCAAAAAATGCCTTTATATTAATTAATTAACCTTTGAAAGGAAAAAGTTTTTAGACAAAATCAAAAATGCAGTTGAAAAAGCGAAAGTTTGCTTAGCTGCTGAGGTTAAATCATGCCATGCGAAAAAATGATACTAGCGTTATGTGAATCCTTGATTAGTGTGGCCATTCCAACGATGTGTAGATTATATTCAGTTTGATTCGGAAAAATGTTTTTATTTTTTTTTGAAAATTTACATACTTAACATTATATTGGCTAACATATAAGGAATAGTTGAAAGGTCTGTTTCTTTCCAAATCTTAATTAATTTACATTTTAAGACATTTTTTGTTTGTAATATTTTTTGGAATAAATTTTAGAAAAATTCTTTTTTAACTATATTTTCATTTAAATCCCTGCGCGAGTTTATTTAGCAGAACTATGTTAACTGTTTAACAGAGCTTTGTTAATAGAGTTGGATTGTGCTTTTGCTAGTTAAATTTAAATATAACTTCAGACCCTTATAAGTGGATAGGATATAAAAACACTTACAAAGGGTAGAATATTTGAAAAGTTCTCAAGGACATTCAATTGTTCAATATCAATATTAAGTCAAGAGACTACACCTTCATAAATATACTGCATATTCTTTCAGCTGCTTCAGTTTCGTATACTAAGTGCATATACTCTACGTGTGTTTACGAAACGTCAAATTGACAAGAAAGCCGTTTTCGATGAGTATAGAGTTTTCAACTGCTTTTTCAATCTCTCTTTCAAGGTGCCAAACATTCAATTCAACTAGAAAGCTAAAATTATAGGAAATATAGAAAACTTTGTTAATATTATAATCAAAAAGCGTTGTGGACGCGTAACGTGGTCTTTCTAACTTGTCATGCAATGTGAGCGTGTTCTATATATAGAAAGAAATAGAAAGTGATTTAGAATCAAATTAAACTCTTGGCTATAAAATAAACGAAAAGCGTAAAGTCCTTATGGCAGACGATTTGTTACACCATTTGAATGTGAGTAAGAAAGACTCCTTCTAGGTTCTTTTATTGGTATCGAGTTTGACTTTCTTTTATTAATTATTTTTTTATTCTTTCTTTCGCTATTTATATGATTAATAATAATAATAATAATAATAATAATAATTATAATGCTTTAGCTATTTGGTTCCGTTTTGTTTGCTCAATCTGCTGCATTTAATTAGTATTCTATGTCGCCAGTGTATTTTATTGTATTTTTAACATTATAGCGCTATATGGAGGATGAGAGAGGGACGATAGGCGCGTATGGTGTTATAAAAGTAATTATTTGTAAAAATGCCTGAAATGTCTATGCTTATATGCGCGGACGTAAACATATACATCTTCAAAATTCGATATATGTACACTTTAAGCGAATATGTGTTTCCAATAAAACAAAAAAAAAAAGTTATCATTTCCGTACGCTGTAAAAAGCGCTGTTGCAGATAATGAATGGAGGGGAATGATAATAAGCATAGACTTTGTGGCCATAAACCTATTGGATTTTTTTGTTCTTTTTTATTTATTTTTTTTCTTCTTCTTTGCTTTTGTCTGAATGAATGCATGAATTTTGCATATACGGACGCATTGTTGATTTTATTGAGAGGATGAATTTTTATGTGACTCTACAATTTATTCATTGTTCATTCACGCCAAGCAGGCAACGTACTAAATTTATCAAACGTTTTCCACGTATTAAAATGCTCATTATCGGCGAATGCACGTAAGCAAAATTAATTTAATTAATCCGTTTATCCGAAATCATGACAAGGCACAGCACCATCTGAAGATGTCTACAATTGAGTCAATCCTGATTTGAAATTTTTCCTAACTGATCCGCGTCAAAGAGTAACGATTTCCGAAGATCATGTAAATTGTGTGTATACTTAGGGATAGAATACTTATGGGTCCCTCGCGAGAATGATATTACGGGCACTTGAGCATTCCGAATGTACGTAAAGCACGCTTTATATTCATTATGCTGATCTGTACGGGTAACAGACAGTAGCGAGCGTTGCATTCACTGCATCATGAATATTGCAAGGATATTTGCAAGAGTGGAACTTTTTTGCCGAAAACGACCTTGTCGACAATGCCTTCCGTCGATAGAAGGAAGACGATTATGATTTTCATAACAAAGCAAGAATTGAATTTAAGAAAAGAATTGCAATGAAAAAGACATAATACTTCAATACCTTTCCTGGTTCATTGTGTTCGCAATCAAGCCCAAAAGGCCTAACGTTTGCTCACAAACACAAACATGCATTAATGCCAGGATAACACGTATTCGTGATAATCGTAACATTATTGATTTCCGAATTTGTACCAATAATCTGTCTCTCTACTCAATAGAGTCCTAGAGTCCTAGTCGTAAACTTTTACTTTCTATCACACCCGTCAAGAGATTTAACTCAAATATCAATGAGACACCGTATGTTATCGTGCCCTCGCAATAGTAACCTCAAAGAATTTTGCAGGTCATAATTAATTAACTCGCTTGCATAAAGTATTTGTTCGATAGACTCGATAATTAGCAATATTTGCCATTGTATGTAAAATGAATAGATGAAATATGTAAATATTGGTTTTAGCGAAAGTTCGATAAGTATGTGTAGACAAGTCTTGACAAGTTATACAAAAGATTTGATATTAAATTTTGTACGATATACGACGCGATGATGCGTACGCATGCGTATGGATCAAGTAAATGGCTGCAATCAACAAGTATTATGAACAAGTCATATATACGATCCGATATATACCGAATATGATTTCATTTTTTTTTTTTTTTTATATATATTGTTATGTTCTCTTTTACGTGTCATCGTACCTTTATACTATTTTCTTTGTGATGTCAAGCGAATGTGGAGGTGTATGCATTTACCTCGTGCATGAAAATAATTGCAAGCGGAAAAAAGTTAACTAAAAACACCCACCCTACATTCAAATGACATACATAACGCTATTAGTAGGCTTACTCAACCTTTCGAAACTGAATTTCATGAAAATCGGATATAAGAACAAAATTAATAATAAACAAAGAAAAGTAATTTACGTAAATTACGAAAAACCTTCGATTATCTGTTACCGCCCCATCCTCTAGGCATATCTAAAGCATTCGTAAAGGGCGCCAATGTCTTTATCAGCGTAAATAGCACAAACAAACAACTTAGCTATGTTGTCTGTCTGTTTAATTCGCGGTTGATTGTAACCTACAAAACATTTGTTTTGAAATATTTTCTTATCATATTTGTCCGATTAAATAAGCAAAAATCACCATATTATCGAATTAAAAGTGAGACGAGCAAAACGGGATCGTATATTAATGAAATCAAATAGTGGGCCATATAAGAAATCACCGCGATTTCAAGCTCGTTCTTTGTAGACTATTCTTCTCAAATCATTCCAAACTGCCATGTGACTGATGTTTACTGCCTCCACTATTCCCGACAATTTGCCTGCCGAACTTGTTCCACCAGTTGCAAAAGAGGAGCAAGATGCATCTTTGATATCCACACTTTCGGAATGGAATCGAGCGAGCAAACTATTCAAAAAAATTTTTTTTTTTTTTTGCAACAAAGCATCATATATATATTGTAAGAGTCAGAGTAATGTAACTTTTTACATGAGTAAAGAATTGGAAAACTATCTGCATAGAAAATGTAAGATGAAATGTCATCTTGTAAGCATGTGTTCGCTTGAGATAAGCAATAACATTATTCTGCGGAAAAAACCGCGAAGACTTTTTATATCACCCCATAAATAAATATACGTATGAAAAATGTAATATAATAACGATAATGCATCAATGCAAACTACTAAATTGATGGACACCAGTAGAATACATATATAATATAATGATAATCGATCTTATTTATTATCATAATAATTAAAAGATTTTTGCACTTTTTCTTTTCAGATACCACCAACATCACAGTACGTATATATATATATATTCACATATATATATATATATATATATATATGTATATATACACATGTATATAGATATCCAGATAAAAGAAACAAAGAATTTCATCATCACAATAGTGAAAATCCATCCAATTGAAAACGTTCTCATAATATAATACCTAATAAGCAAATAAAACAAATCAACTATAAATTGCTTTCATCCACAAAATTACTGCAGCAGTTTTTTTTTTTTTTATACTTCATAAAAAAAGAGCACAAATAGTAAATAACTTGAAAAAGCAAAAAACAAAGGGAAATTTTTATAAAAATCTTAAATTCTTCTCTATCGTCATAATAATCATTTCGTATGTGAAGTGAACGCTTCAAATAATTCAACATTTCTACATACATAAGTTTATCTACAATTGCAAAGGAAAGCAAGGAAAAGCAAACAAGCAAATGAAATAATAGCGTCTTTAACCATGGAGTTTTGCAATGCTTGAACGTTTCCGTTTAAGTAATTTAAGTCATTATCGTTTCCGATCTACAGAACTGGCTCGAGATAAGAAGCAGAGACAACAATGTGTCACTGTATTATTTCTAGATGACACCACGCACACGTTTCGTATAGAGGTAAGTTGTTCGAGTTATCAGAGTTTTTTTTTTTTTTTTTTTTTTTTTTTTTTTTTGTAAACCTCCACTTATGCGTTGCGATTTAATCTAAGTCGTTTTATAACAAATATTTCATATATGAAATGACATGAATTATGAAACAGTTAAATAAACAGCAGAATCCTACATATGTTTATGTGTATGTATATATTAGATTATGAATCGATAATGATGTATTATTTACGTTTATTTATTATTACATTGAGTATTTAATCGTTCAACTTTCACCAATTATTGATATTCGTGTTGGAATACCATTGTTGGAATAACTTGCTCGAATACCATTGAATGTACTCATGAAGCAACCCGAAGTGAAAAGACTATTCTGGCTGCGAGTTAAAAGAGTTGTGTATGAGCCGCAATCGCCGATTACGCGTAATTTTCCGATATATGTCAGCTCTGTTAAGTATTTATTTAAGTTTGCGTTGACTCTAAGACTCAAGCTGAACAAAGGAAAGCATAGAACAAATGTAATAATACATTTGACGATGAGGTATCACAAGATTTTAAATCGTTGAAGTAGCCTTGTCTGCTAAATTCAGAGGTCTGGTCTTGCACTCTTCTTATATACTGCGCAGTGGTACATTGTCGCACCCTTGCATCATTGCATTCGTTTTCAATTATTTCCTTCAGATAGTAGGCAGATCTGCTTGTACTTGTTAGCGCAGATTAGTTTTATGCTTTCACTTGATAAAAGCGATATTAGATATCTGGTTGAAAACTGTATGTAAAACCGTTGCCAACTATTTGAGCGCACAACTTTTAGCTACACTATCAAGTTTACCGGAGGAGAATTCGGAGAAATTTTAAAAAGACAAGTAAGAAAATTAAATTCATTCGGGACCGTATCTTTTATGCCGAACCCAATCACCGTTTATGCCAAAAAATGATGAAAGAAGTAAAAGAACAAAATCTTCCTGCTCTATAATACGGAGCGGAGCGGGCGCTTTGACTGATTTCTTCTATATTTCAAAATAAAAGTTTTTCTCGTAGCGGCATGTGGGCGTATTGTAGGCGTGTCCTTTGCAAAGTTTACGCCAATTCAAAATTCTTTTGCAAAGTTACGCAAACAGACAGATAGACAGACGAACTGGCGGACATGTTTAGATGCATTCAAGAGTTGAAGATTGTGGTTTGAAAAAACTCTAGAGCCGGGAATAAGGTTTTGAAATGTGTTACAGACCTGGTTTCCTTATTACAATTAATTTTTCATTTTTTTATATTTTTCCCATAAAAGCCAGTTCCAAATTTCTTTCACTGGCAACGAAACTTCAAGTTCTGTAGACGAATTTACACCTGATGGCGACAATTTCCCAGGTCCCATATTGTCCATTTCTTCTTGGCAGAAGCACTGACAGCTTTCAAATCGCTCTTGTTTCCTATCGAATTTTGGTTTCGAAATGCTTCTAAATGAACATAAACAACACTTGCTGAAGCGATCTGTTGGCACATTGGAGAAGTTTGAAACGTGACAGTTTAACTGTCTACTACTAATAGGAAGTTTTTTGTGATATGGTCGCAATTCAGGAAAGAGATCGAAATTTCAAGAAAACATTTCTTTCAGCCAATAATCATTTTACCTCCCACTCTTGAAGATTCAAGCCATTTCTACTAAGCCAATAGAGAAAGAAAAATAAAGGATTTTCTTCAAAATATATAGATAGTGGGTTTCCCCTTTAATTTAGCTGAATATATATGGCTGGAATTCTTCAAATTTCGACTTGTACATAGGCAAGCGAAGTTAGATGTGTCTTCTTTGCTTCTTCAACTGGCCAGGCCTTGTTTTTGATTGGAAGAAATAGTGTAAAGAATTTTCTTTGAGAAATCATGAAGAGTTCATTTTTAATTTCAATTTCTCCTTCAAACATACCTACTTACATAGGTGGTGTGCTGCTTTCTTCTGTTTAATTTCAGTTTTTTATTTTTTTTTTTAATTTTTTTTTTTATATACATTGTACAATAGTTAAACCGTTTTATAAAATTACGGTTGAATGAAATTTTCATTTATATATATCATATACACATACATATCTACATGTACGACGCAGCTTGATTTGTTACGTCTCTTTTTTATACATATACACATGTAAACATATTTTAAACAATAATTATATGATGTTTTCATAGTGCAATCATTTAAAAATAAATCTACTGAAAAACATATCAATGGATAGGCATTCATGTAAATGTGTGGGTCATTCCTCCCAGGTATTTACTGAAACAATTGTACGAGAAAGTCTGAAATATATTAAATAATTGAAAGCTGCAGTTACGTCAGGCGATTTTGTTTTTTGTTTTTTTTTTTTTTTTATTGTCCATAACAAGAGTGTGCACATGTTCTTAACGCAAAAGCTTTATATGTAACGTGTAGAAGAAATAAAATGTTTCTTATTATTTATTTCATAATATTTGCATTTTCTTCTTCTTCTTCTAACCTCCCTTTACTTAGGCGCGCTTAGCCGATTTTGAGGAAAGTAATCGAATGAATCGCGAGGGCTAGTTTGCGTTGACATCGTATTGGATTCTTTGAACAAGCTGCAGCCCAAATTTACTTATGATATATTAAAATTGTGCAGGTGTACGCAACACCTAGAAGGACTTGAGCTAGACCCGCGTTTTGATTATTTATTGATCGATTCAGAATCGCTTTACATCGATCTAAGCTTGTCATCTTCTGTGTCTGTCTATCTGTCCGTTTTGCTTTTCTCGTGTTCAATCTGCATTTTGACGAAATTCGGTACAAAGAATATTATCCGTCTTGTTTTCTTGTGATTAACGCGCCATAAGGCCACAAAGCTTGACTCAAATTGTTTTAAATTGATAACATCTTTATTATTGAAATTAAAAAAGCTTTTAGCCCATTTCAAGAAGTTATATACCAACTCGGTTTATGAAAAGTCTCGCCTAGAGGGCGTTTTTCTCGAGTAAGTCATAAAGCATTTAAAATATTTATGAAAGCCTTTATTGAAAGGAAAAGTACGACGCTTCATATTCATATAAAATATAATAAAAGGGATGTGAGATGATTTATGACCTTTCATTTAGTATAGAAAACCTCATACGATGAAACTCCATATACGTGAAGGCGGTAAAACAATTGTAAGTCCATACATACCAGACAGCAAAGATACTATAAGCATCAAATTTTAACTTTTTCCCATTTAAGAAGCTAACCAACAAGTAGTTAATGGACATGCTGCTATTCGTATTGAACTATTGATATTGATAGCAAACGTTAATCAAGCATGCAAATAGATTTATGTCGAATTTTTTGATATAAGTGAGAAAGACGAACTTTTAAAAGGCAAATATATTATTTATGTAATATGGAGACATTTGAATTATTTACGCATTAATATTCAATATTAAAGGCACTGACATTGTGTAGTAGGAGCTGTAATAAGGAGGGAAAAAATAATTATTTTAAATACTCTCCATTATAGAAACGTGCTAAAGGCGTTGATTTGCTTGAGCAAGTGTATCAGTTTCTTGAATTATCCGAAAGAGATTATTTCGGCTTACTCTTTCCCTCAAAGCCCGGCGATGTTGTAGTAAGTAATCGTAATTACAAAAAAACTTTCATAATTTTTAGTGCTTCTTCTTCAATCATTTCAGAGATGGGTTGACGCTCAAAAACTGTTTAAAAAGCAATGTAATAATATTGCTTTGGACAATGACTCCGTTCCATTATTAGAATTTAGAGTTAAGGTGAGTATGTGTTCATCTGCGCTATCCTTGCATAACACTTTGAAACGAACACTTTTAATGCATTATTACTTCCCTTTCAGTTTTATGTAAGTGATCCCAGTCGTTTGCAGGAAGAATATACACGCTATCAATTTTATTTACAAATTAAACGTAACATATTTTTGGGCAAACTGCCATGTTCAAATAATACACAATGCCTATTGGCTAGTTACACTGTCCAGTGTAAGTTTTTTTTTCATTTGTTCGTTCGTGTTCGTGTTCGTCGTTGTTTGTTGAATTGTAATTATGTTATATCAATATCTTTATACGATTATTTAGCTGAGCTTGGAGACTTTAATCCGCATGAACATCAAATGGGTTATTTGAGTAACATGCAATTATTGGCGGATCAGACTGTAGAGGCAGAACGTAAAATATCAGAATTGCATAAATTGCATCGTGGCCAACTGCCAGCGGACGCTGAATATAATTATTTGGAACACGCCAAAAGACTTGATTTATATGGCATCGATTTGCATAAAGCTATTGTAAGCTATTGTGGTAAAGAAATTTTTTGAATACTTAGTTAAAATTTATTTGTCGTTATTGATCGAACAGGACTCAAACAGCAAAGAATTGCAATTGGGCGTCTCGGCGATAGGACTCTTAGTATTTCAAAACTCTCTGCGCGTTAATACATTTTCATGGTCCAAGATGGTAAAGGTTTCATTCAAACGAAAAGACTTTTTCATACAATTACGCCGGGAACCGGTAATTGAAATTGAATATTGCAATTACGTTTATATTGTGTAATGATAACTCTTTCCCGCAGTCCGAAAATTATGATACTTTGCTTGGCTTTAGCATGACCTCGCATAAGCATGCGAAAGCCTTATGGAAATCTTGTGTTGAACATCATTCATTCTTTCGCCTCAAAAGGCCGCATCGGCTATCGCGTTTTCTAAATTTAACTTTGGGGTCTAAGTATGTTTTATCACATTGCCTAGAGTCGTTGCATATTTATTATTATAGATAAATTGATAATTTTAGATTCTATTATTCTGGTCGCACGGAATTGCAAGCTGTTCAAGAGTCTAAACAACGTGGCAAAATACATAAGGTATTCATACGTTCGCCCAGTAAACGATTAGCTGCAGTGGGGCCGATAGGCGCTGCCTTACCTTTAGCTAACGGTGGCAGTGGCTCGGATAGTAATGGCAGTGTAACGCATAATGGCAAAGCTCCGTCCGCTTTAGCAGCTCATACGTCCATTTTGACTATAACCAAGACAAGCCGTCCTCATGACAATAAAGTTACGTCCAAACAAACTGATTCAATGCCACGAAAAGCCTGGGAACAACAAAGTGATGAATACGACATACAACTGTTAGTTTGAAATGACTTATATGTATGTAGACTTTTTGAATAATCTAATCATTTTTATTTGTTTGCAACAGTTTTGAGTCTCCAGTGCCACCTGCTTATAGTACCGGTTCACATAGTCCAAACAGTGGCCAGCCATTAGGAGCAGCGATTACTACTTACATAAACGGTTGTAGCACAGCAGCGGAGAGTGGTAATGATTTAGTTACTATTCGTTTATTGGCTGACGAGCAAGGCCGATTTGGCTTTAACGTGAAGGGTGGTATTGATTTAGGTTTACCCGTTCAAGTATCAAAAGTTGTGCCGAACACTCCAGCAGATCGCTGCATACCACGTGTACGTGAAGGCGATGAAGTCGTATTAATTAATGGCCGTGAAGTACAGGGTTTGAAACATGATCAGGTTGTCACGATGATTCGAGAATGTCGTAACATTCGGAATGGGGAGCTTTTACTAACGATGAGACCTTTTCCACTCGCTCCAGTTCTCAGCGAAGAAGAGGAACCGTTATATCAATATGTACCCGAAAACGATGAGATTTGTTCACATTCCAACCTCTTAGATGGTGATGCGTTATTCACACAAAGTCTATTGCTTCTAAGTGACGGTCTGGCCTCTGGCGCTTTATTGGCTCAATACGAATTGATGTATAGGAAGAATCCAGATTTGGCCATTACGGAAGCTCGCAAACCCGAGAATGTTGCCAAAAATCGCTATCGTGATATATCGCCCTACGATTGTACTCGGGTAACTTTGGTTAACTCCTCAACCGGTGATTACATCAACGCCAACTATGTTAATATGGAAATACCAGGAGGTATTATAAATCGTTATATAGCTACTCAAGGACCCTTAGCTAACACTACAAACGATTTTTGGCGTATGGTCCAACAGGAAAGTAGCCATTTAGTAGTTATGTTAACTACCGTCATGGAAGCGGGCCGTCAAAAGTGCCATCAATATTGGCCTTTGACGGGTGATGAACTGCAGTTGGGCGAGGGTTTCTCTGTCAGATGTCTCAGTGAAAAACCCGATGAAACTGGTTCTTTTGTTTTCCGTGAATTCTTGTTGTGCGACAAACGGTCGGGTGAACAACGTCATATTCAACATATGCAATATTTAGCATGGCCTGATCATTGTGTACCTTCTGATCCAAATCTGTTTTTGGAATTTGTTGAACGCGTTAGAATGGCCAGAAATCGTACACTATTGCAGGAAATTGAAGAGAGTCTTAAACAAGTCCGTTTGCTAGATGCCGATGCCGATGAAAACGGTGGTCTAATGGGTGAACGTAAATGCGCTGCCAGTAACGGTGCTACACCCGAAGATGAAACACCGGTATCGACAAGTGTTCATCAGTAAGTTTTTGCATAAAAAAAATTAAATTTTGAATTCTAAATTTTTCTACATTCTAGATGCATTAGTGCTGCCAATCCTCCTGTGATAGTCCATTGTTCGGCTGGCATTGGCCGTACAGGTGTTTTGATTCTGATGGATACTGCCTTGGCTTTGATGGAATCCCGCGAAGCAGTCTATCCATTGGATATAGTAAGAACTATGCGTGATCAACGTGCTTGTATGGTGCAAAATGTGGTACGTAGTAGGCACAAACTTATAGACCATATTTTCGACAAGTCAATGCATTGAACCAAATTTAGTACAGATATTCTTGCGTTAGTTGATGAGCTTAAAAAATTTCTTTAACTATTATTTACAAGCAAGGCGGATATGAAGAGAGGTTTAGCAAAAAAATACTTTTTTTATTAGGAGCTAATCCTTGATAAAACTTTTTAGATAGAAGACTTGTTTTATTTTGGTTTTGAGCCGATAGCCTGTGTTGCTAGTGCTCAATGTCTTTTTTTTAGTCTAAGAATTCATTTCATTAGTCTAAAATTAAAATAATAATAATAATAATAATATTTTGGTTTTAAATAAAAAAAAAAAGAACATATTTAAATATTTAGTAAACGAGATAGATAAATGCGTGAGAAGTTTTGATAATATGATTTAGGTGTTAGTGAGTGAGTAAATGAGGAGTGTTTCTTCATAAGCTCTACGCAGCAGCGTTTTTCTTCAAATAAAATCTTACAGCAATCCACCTTCGCTAGGAAGAATGTGTTAAACTTAAACGGAAATATTCAAGAACAAACGCGTAGTGATTGTCAAACGATGTGTAACGTTCTCTCGATTCTGCTCCCTTGGTTCACTTCTCCAGATCAAATTTAATTTTTTGAATATGATCAGTTTGTGTAGTTGATAAAAAAAAACTTTCACTTACAAATCATCTGGAGATCTGGCAAAAATATAACGCGGGACTATCGCAGAGTTCATTGGAAATATATTTTTAATCAGCTAACTACGAAGCCCCAAAATTAGCAATACACTTTCAATTTTTGCATATGTATTTTAAGTGATTGGAACGAAAAATTCCCGTTAAAGCAAATATAATTTTAATAAATTGTTTTCTCACTATATATTTTCAGAGCCAATACCGCTTCGTGTGCGAGTGTATCTGTGCCGCATATATGAAAATGTCACGTAATAGTGCTTTGTTAGCGCAAGAGGAAGACTAATCAACATTATATATATAAAATATATCGAAATTAAATTCTAAACCTAAATAATGCACGTGCCTCACTCCCAATTCTCGTTCACACTTACATTGACACGTTTACCACATTCAAATTCAATAAAGCCCTTCAAATATAGAACGTAACAAATAGAACCGATATAAACATATGCATACATACATATACAAAGAACAAAAGAAATCGCATGAAGGAAAATAACATATATATTTTTATATTAAAAACTTACACAAAAAAAAAAAAAAAAAAATTTTTCTACAAAAAATTCTAATCAAACAAAAAAAAAACAAAATTTTTTTTTTTTTTTTTGGAGAACTTTACAAAGCATCCTCTTTTTAATGTTATTGTATATATATGTATACGGTTTTTTTTATATATAAAATAAAAAAAGTTGCCTCATAGCAGAGAAATACATCTACAAAATGAAATATGTATTTATGTTTCAATTAAGGTAAACAAAGATGTCTGAAGATATGTAATAATAATAGTCCAAAACAAGATGTCAATAATATAAGGATTTCAAATAAAATATAATATGATATATTTTCCGATCGCGAGCAAATACATGAACAATGTTATCGATACGCATTATTTAAAATTCATATATTTTGTTATTCACACGCTATATACATATACATTTATTTGGATGAGTCCTTATAGACTCATCCTTATGCCCTCAGAAGTTTTAAATTCCCCAAAACCCGGAGCGATAATTGAAATCTATTTACATAGAAAAGAAAAATAAAATGAATATATAAAGAATGAGAACAAAAGAAAATAAAGAAAAAAAAAAAAAAAACTATTAGTATTCTAGCACCAAATAAATTATTTATAGTATACAATATATATTTATGTGTGTGTATATGTATTGTAAACTTTTTAGAACAGTTATAGTTTGTCGTTTAATATTATATGAAATATAATTACTCACTCCTTCCTCCTACTTTACATATGTTTTCTCAATATATTTCAAAATAGTTCTGTAGTATTTTCTTTTCTAATACTTTGTAAATTAAAAAAAAAAAAAAGAAGTATATTTTCTTTTCACTTATAATAATAAAAATTGAACATATTTAGTTTACAAGAAGACATTTGTAAATGCGCGTATTGTGACTTATTTTGATTTCTACAAACTTCAAAGCAATGCAACTGATGGCTGTTAAATGGCAAAGCAATATAAGTGACGGCTGTTAAATGGCAAATCAAGCAAAACATCTCTGTTAAAATGGCAAAGCTATACAAACAAACCGTCTGCAACCGTGTTTGCGGACAGAAATATTTCTTAGCCTCAAATACCATAACAGAATACCAGCATTTTTAGGTTCTTGAATTGAGCACTTTAATAAGTTCATTCAAAGTTTCGAGCAACAGACGCTTAAATAGATTCTTTATAAAATACGTTCAAAAAATAATGATGGCGATCACAAAATTAATTTTCCTTAGAAATTACAGCGAATCTATTTTTATACTCATCACCGAAGGATAGCGGTATACTCAAATTGTCATAATACTTGCAACACCCAAAAGGAAGGTTCAGAGATCCTATAAAGCATATTTATTCGTGATCAGCATGAAATTCCGAATCGATTAAGCTATGTCTCTCAGATATGTTATCTATCTAACACAAATATATGTATAAATATAAAGCAATACAATTGACGTAGGTATTGGAGAGTAGAATGAGACAAGCTAAATAGGTTACATACAAATCAAATACGCCAATAGCATGACGTAGTGAATTAATTTTTCTTGTTATGCCTTTACCAGCTCAGCACTCACTATACCGCAATTGGAGCATGATTTCCAAAGGAGTATGCCGACTTAAGAGTCGCGCTTCTTAATTAATTACTTACCTGTGCGATAGTTTATTGTACATCATTGCCTGCTTAAATTGTGGCATGTAAAAAAGACTTAAGAAAGTAGTTTTTTCCACGGTTTCGAACTTCTTCTTGTAGGCTGCCCTTTTCAAATAATTCCAAACTGTGACTTGGTTAATGCTTAGTGTCTTTTTTACTCCTGGTCTTGCCCCACCCCGGTGGCAAAATTCCATCGACTTTTCGACTAGAAAGAGGTGTATCTTTGACATCGAAATTTCTGGAATGAAATCGCGTAATCGACTTCTGGGTCCTTCGTTCATTTCAGCATTTTTACCATACAATTTATAAACTTTTTTATTTTTGCAGCGTACACCTTTTTGATAGGAAAAACGCATCACGTAACGTATTTCTTCAGATATTTCACCTGTTTTCAAGTCAATATAACTTTTTACACGTGCAAAGAATTAGAAAACTATCCCCAAAAAAAAATATAAGCTGCAATGTCATCTGTTAAGATCGCATGATCGTTTCAGACAATCGGGTGAATGTTGTAGGCATTAGCATCGTCCTGCGGAAAAGACCTTAGTCTTTTTTTCCATGATCCAATATATCCAAATGAATAGTTGGACAGTACTCTACTGGCTCGAATATTAATCGATAGTTTTTTATGGTTTCCTTAAATTAGGCTATAAGTCCAGTCCAGTAAAGAAAACTCTAAAGGGCCGACAATATCAAAGAATGTCTGCCGTTAACTATTGAAACTATTTTTACATTTTATTACTTATTAGTAATTATTGCAGGAAGGAATTTTCAGTTTAATTGGTTTCAAAGGAGATAATATTAATGTTTTATTTACTGTAATTAAAGAAACATATGTTGTAGATTTATTATTTGGTTTCATCATTAGTTAGTTCCTTAAGGGTTTCCTGTAAGTTGGCATATTTTTGTTGCAATTTTTTTTCACGTTCCATTTGGCGACGTACATCTTCTTGTAGAGACTAAAGTATGCCAAGGGAGATGTTAAGTAATTGCATTTATTTGCAGCAACAAATTCAAATTTATGTACTCACCTCCAGACGCCTTGGTATGGCAACAGCTTCTTGTTCAGCTAAAAATTTGAATGTAGATAATGCCAAAGTGTTCTGTTCAATTTGTTCAAAAGTGTCTTGTAGTTGTTTTAATAACGCTTGTGCTCTCGCCTGATAACCACCAGTTAAAATTTTCAGCTTTTTTTCAATTTTGCCGCAGCGTTTCGCCTCTTTAGCCATATGTCGTCTATTTTGCTCTAAACGTTTCTCAGCCGATTCGAGGCGATCTTTCTTGCTAGCCAAATTGGCTCGAGTGTAACGGTTTTGTGAGGGTAAAAATAGTACTTGAGCTAAGCACTCTTCCCACACTTGAGAATAAACATCCAAAGCTAAATCACCGTGACCCATTCCCTCCTTGACTACCTTCATCTCATTACTTAACAGCAGTTTTGCCCTATTTAGTTCTTCTTTCGATATCTCTTCGTAAGGATTCGACTTGAAATATGTTTGCAATTGGTCCATTTTATTTTCTGATTGACCAGGAACTGGATCCTTTGTGGAATCATATAATAGCATAGTAATCATTTCGTGTTTGATCATTTCTTCTGCATTTTGTAATTCTGTTAAATTTGGTTTGTCGGAAAGCGGTCTAAGAATTTTGGTGTTTACTTCGGTTGGGCGCGGCAGCGTCCTTTGAACTACCTGGGAACGCTTCCCCAATTCTTGCTTACGTGCTTTTTCTTTCTCAGCTACAACACGAGCATCTACATCAGCCTGGTCTTCAACAGTGATGGATTCATTTGTTGAATCTGTGGGTTCAAGCTCATTTTCTTCGGGTACCACGATCTCATAATCATTTTTTGGAGTTGGCAAAGTGGCCAAACTTTCACGCAAGGAATGTTTTAATTGCTTTTGATAATTCTTATACATAGCTGGCGTTTCACCGACATTCAGATTTTCCTCAACGTTAATGTTAAGTTTATCACGGACCAAGGCTGTTGTTTGAGAGCCATCGACTCTTGGAGTTTTGCCCGCGGCCACTAAAGCTGACATAGGCGTTGCAAAACCACCAGGTGTGACCGAACCACTTCCCCGTTGAGTTCTGAAAGTGTCAATGGCATTTAAAAGATATCGTTTAGACGGTGAAAACATTTACGTCTTACCTGAATGGTGTAGCAATTACAGTATTAGGAGTGGCTATAGCTGTCGATTTCGGTAGGGCTCCAGAGAAATCTGAATCATGTAGAGGAGTGTTGATGCCACCCTTTAAAGGAGTTTCAACGTGGGTGAGAGCCATTATGTTTTGAGCTTCTTGCATAATGCGATCAGTAAAGGGTGCTGGTGTGCGCGGCGTAACTGCAACTTGAGGTGTTATAGAATAATCTGCCAACAAAGCATCTGTTGTCTCCACACCGCTATCTGTTGCTACCTCTTTAGCTACTTCACTAGCTCTACCCAGCTTCACTACTTGTTGGAGCTCTTGGTCGGAAATTTGCGGTTGCGGTAACACTAATTTCGAACGTTTGCGCTCTGGCTCTAGGTTTTGCAACATAGCCATGGGCATATCTTTGTCTTTGCGTTGTTTAAGTTTTTGTTTGTCCTTTCTACGTTCACGTTCTTCCCGTTCTACTCTAAGTTCTCCATCAAGATCTTGTTGACGCATTTTATTGAAATCAGGTTCCAGCTTTTCCACGTTTTCTTCCGAGGTATCGTAAAAACCCGAAGCAGGTCGTTTTTCGAAAGGGATTTCGGCATTGTAATCAATACCTTTCACCCGTTTGCGATTACCGCTGCCAATTCCGGCAGCCCTTAATTCACGACGTTTTTGTAAAGCAGCCAATCGACGAGCTTCTTCCAGCTGTTTCTCACGAGCTTTGCGTTTAGCCTTTTTGCCCTGAGTGTTTGCTAACCGTGCACGGGCCTCCGATAACATCTCCAATTCTTTGTTCGCATTAAAAAATAAAAGGATATAAACAACCATTTACGCTAGGGACATTAGCTTACCATCTTCGTCCATATCTTTGGGATCTGGCCTGGCCGGTTTTGTTTCCGGATTAGGATCTATTTCACCTGGCTTAAGTTTACGTGGATCATCTGCTACACATTCTTCCCCATCTTCCTTTCTCTGTGCTTGGTCGCTGTCACGAAATGAGAATATATATCAACTTAAAAAAAATTTTCGAAATTCAGTAACAGTGAACTTACAGCAAATATTCATAACGCTCTATACATTGTGCTGCGGTGCGTCCTATAATCGGTGCTATGGTGCGCCATTGCGTAGGCATGATTTTAGCCAAATGCAAAAGTTTTTCATCTTCTTCCCGCGACCATTCAGTCTTCTTAATACTAGGATCTAGCCATTCATACCAACGTGCCTTACATTGCTTAGCACTTTTACGATGTAGGAGTGAGGCGATACGTGACCATTGGTTTTTCCCATATTTCATCACCGCAGCCTTGAGGATCTCATCCTAATAAGTAAAAGAAATCATCGATATTAAGAGCACATCATGCACCTAAAAGGAAAATTCACCTCAGTATTGCGCCAAACGCCTCCCTTAATCATGATACGCGGCATATTTGTATGATTATATTTAATTTACGAAGAAGAAACAATTTTTAGTATAATTTGCAAATAATCTATTAACTTTATAAACGAGGCAAATATTACAACCGCTAGAATCAATCCACCAATTCATATAAACACTGCTTTGCTGTGGGTTTCAATATACTTTGTACCGTTCTTGACAAAGCATTATAGTACTGCCATATCTAAAGTATTAAGGTCAACAGCAAGCAACATTTTTTTGTACACGACACGGTTTCAAATTCAATTCTAAACAAGGGCGGTAATCACTTAGTTGAAAGTTAGCTTTCGCTTTTGTATTCAATCTTTTTGCCAACCAGCTAAATGCAACGATGAAAGTTACATTTTTTATACGTGATTGTCTCCAAGGCCTTTTTAAACATATGGCCAAACCAAAGGCTAGAAGTAGAGTAAAATATATTTTAAACCAAATTATTTATTATATATTATTACTATTATTATTATTTTAATTTTAGACTAATGAAATGAATTCTTAGACTAAAAAAAAGACATATTACATATTTCTCCTAAATAACTGCATAATTTTTTTACCATTTTCGGATTTATCTAACGGGCGATCAACTGCTTGAAAATAATACGACGTTGTTAATTGACATGCATGAACATATATGTGTCCAAAATATGTGCAATCTGGTGCTAATCAAGTAGCTGAAAGTTAGTAAAAACAGCTGGGGATTAATCGCGTACGAAGAATCGAACTTTGCTTTTGTATTCAGCTGCTGGGAAAAACCGCCGAATACAAAAACGAAAACTAACTTTCAGTTACGTGGTTATCCCCCACAATATAAAAGTAAAAGATCGATTTTTTATGTGTGGTTACCTACCTGATTTTGGAATGTTTAGTAAATTTTCTTTGTTTTAATGAGTAGGCAATGGAATTCACATGAAGATTTTAATATTTCAGTGTGTTGGAGAGAAATTTTGGACACAAACCAAGCAAAAATAGGCGAACGGATTCTAAGACTTTGGAAATCTGTTCTGGCAACGTAAACGAAGTTGAAATGAAGGTAGCCTTTGCTTCATTTGGTATCGATTATCGAGCAATATAAATTGCCGTGCTCTTATACTTTTAAATACAGCAACTGTTCTAGAATGGCGACTTATTTTTCCAATATTTACGGTTAAAAGACTCAAACGCAATTAAGGAAAACTTATACGCAAATCAACGGCTGAAACATGCATGCTTTAGGCTAGCATTGCCAGAAAAAAAGAGTATTTTGCGGACTTCCTAGTTACCAAGTGCTCCAAATGTATAAATACAAAACTAGTATTCCGTTGAACTTTTTTACACAAATAGTTATCGCACAATGTATTCATTAATAGAATAAAATTTTGGTTTATAAGCTATATATTTAGTATCTATTTTGCTTCGTAATATTCATTTCGTTTCGTTCCAACTCGTAATGTAACTTGTATATATAAAAGGCCCTGCATCTTGTGTACAAAATCGGTCGCAACTTTTAAGTGTGCATAATGCCTTCATAATACCTCCTACGAATTGCTTGTTATTTCTTGTTTTCCACAAAAAATTGACAGTCGTTAATACAGTAAGACAGTAGATATTGTTGTTTGAACAAGTAGATACGCTGTTAAACTGAAGTCCTGGGAATATAAGTGAGTGCGCAAATATTAATAAAAAAAATTTCTCATTTTAAAAGAACCGATATGTTTTAATCTAATCCAATCCGCCTGAGTAGCCGAAGGTTAGGAATCTCGATTAGCAAGTCAATGGTCGTGGGTTTGAATCTCAAGTGCGGTAGAGTTTTTAATAAAAGCCGATAGCCTTAGATGCTAGTGCTTTTAAAAGTTTAGTCTTAGAATTTATTTCTCTGGCGAAATTAATAATAATAATAATAATCTAATCCAATAGTGTATATATGCTATAAGTCACTGAAGGCGTCTGACAATTTGCACCTGAAGCTTTTTCATAAATGAAGTGTGTGAATCTGCAAAGTTAAATACATTTTTATGTATTGTATGTAAATGAAAAATTACACAGATATTGAACTAATTTTGATTAATATTGCGAAATATATATTAATTAAACAACTGAAAAAGTTGAATATAAAAGGTCTGCATCTCTCTTTTGGGTTGTACACACTTTTATAAATTTAATATGCTCAATTTTTTGCCATTGAAAGTAAGTGAACTTCTATCTTACTGGTTCGTTGGCAAAAATCTTTCTCCCTTCTTCAGGTTATTTTTTATTCAAACGTAACGAATTCTGAATAAAAATCTACGAAGTGATCACGTATGAGAAATTTAGCTTTCAATTTTGTATTCAGCTGTTCCGCAAAAACGGCTGAATACCGAAGCGAACGCCAACTTTCAGCTACGTGATTACCCCTATATTATAAAGTGGGGAACATGTTCCCTTTCCATCATAACGTGCAAAACGACTGTACATGGCACCATTGGCAGAATATTGGGCTTTTATTAATTTGTTATTTTTAATAACGTGAGCATAATTTTACTTTAAATTGGTGCGTATATAAAAACAAAATTAGAATTATTGCATAATTTGGTTCTAATACGTAAACTTAAACAACAATATTGTTTACACTCCAATATATATCTATTACATTTTCACTTGACAGAAAATGATAAACTAGGAAAACATTACTAGTGCTTCAACAAAGAAAAAAAATTTCGAAGAAAAGAGATACAAAACAGAAAATTTATGACAGAGAAAATTTCGTTGTATGGTGCTTTTATAAAGGAATTTAATTTAGTTTGTCGTTTGTCAAAATATTTGTTTATTTGCCAATTTCACATAGTTTGTAAAAAGATTTAATTGTAAAAAGAGAAATTTTTGTATTTTGTGTTTTCTCTTTTTTTGGGTAGAACGAATATTAAAATCATTGCAAAAAGGTAATTCATGAGAAATTAGTGAAGGTAAACAGGGTCAACCAGGAAAGAAGGTTCATTTGCCTTCGACAAATTGTGGCTACCCCTTAACGAATTCGCCACCAATTGTGTGGGCGTGTTAGTAAGAAGAATTTGAAGATATTACGATGACACATGAATAACGTATATCAATATGCGTAAGCCGTTCATAAAATGCGGATATGTTAAGCCTTAGATATCTTAGTCCCAAATTTGTAAGCATACGGTTTCTGTTATAAAGTTCCGCCAACTTAGTTTTGTATAGCGTTTTGACGGATTTTGTCCATTCTTCCATGTAAACAAATTATATTATAAAAAAGACAACAATGATTATTTAGTTGACTTAATATATCGCACCAATTAAGAATGAAAACACGTTATGATGTTCCCGTCTCCGCAGTCTGTTGGGATGTTGCAAAGTGAAAGTGTTGTATAGGGCTCGTGCACTTTCAAAGCTAATGTAAACAGGATGCCGTTAGCCTAAAAATTAACAGTTAAATGAAAGAATTTTTTTAACCTAATAATTTTTTTTTTTTTTTTTTTTGGTATGTTGAACAGATAACCTAATAATTTAGACAATACTTTGGTATTCTTCAACTAATATATTATATATTATTATTATTATATTTACAGCCATGGATATTTTGGATATAGACGAGGCGCTCAAAGATGATTCATTTATGTAAGTAGAAAGTAGGGAAAAAGCTTATTATCAACAACTAACTGAAGAATATTTTGCCCTTACGTTTCGAATATTACAGATTTCTCGAGGATAAAACCCACGATGACATATCCAACATATTGCAACAGTGGAAAAGTAATAATTGTCTACCGCCCTCAATTAATCGAACACCGCAACAACCATTAGAGCAACGTAAGCAAAATAAATTATCTATTTAGTAGTTTTATTAATTCTGCACAAATATTGGGTGGGTTGTACGTTTTTTCTTTTAGCCATAGTGTATTTTAAAACAGGTATATAATTTTATCTATAAACAACCCAAACGAGTAGTTTTTTTGTATAAATCTGTAAACACCATGAATAATGCAAATAATAGGACCGACGTATTCATGGTACTTGCGGACAATTGCTTATATGGCGAAATCGAGGTTAACAAGATTGCTTTACTTGTTTCTTATAAATACAAGTTTACATTCTTTAACTATGTATATCGCAATATGTTTTCTTTGCAATAATTCTGGATAATAGTAATATTTTAGGCAAATGTTTTACCAAAAGTATTCTCTTTTTGCCCATTTTTAAAACGATCTGCACAGTTTTGTGATTTTGTCCATATTTATAATAGTAACATAAATATTATACCATTATAATATTTCTAAACTTTCCTTTTTTTTCTTATACATTTTTGTGTTTGTGTTGATATTCACATGTTCGGTATAATTGGCACATGATGTCCCACATGTAATGTATAAATAAAATGTGTCGTACCCTATATTTATTTGAAGACGTATATTAAGCACTTGTTAAGCATCCAAAAATTTCATGAAAAAAAGCAAAATAGTATTGGCTTTCGGTTCATTCTGGGTAAAAAGAGAAATCGATTTATTCTCCTCGACAACATTTTATGATGTGAAGTTGTGTTCTTGTTACGAGTTGCTATACTCTACATAAATTTGGCAAATCTTATTTGCCATGGTGGGCATAACAATAATCTTTCAATCTTACGTATTAAGATTTATTTGCTCTCATTGATAAATGATAGGTATCGATGATTCGTTTTAAACCCGCTTTCCTTTTTAATAATGTATCATGTTTTTATTATTATCTTCTCGTTCTTCTATGTTCGCATTTGAACGGTTTTGGAATGCTGCCTTCAAATTTTGTTTCTTCTGTTGATTATGTTCCCACGCATTGAAACTCGCATGCAATTGTAACAATCGGTTGCCTAACGATGGTAACGAAAATATATGTACATAAATTTTCGTGCAGCTTACAAACTAGACTCCAGAACATTCACGCGACCCAAACGGAAGTTGGTACAAAATCTCGAAAGCAGTCATTTTGTAAGTATAATATTATTTAAATAATACAGCGAACAACACCCTAATATCCGTATGTACTTGTTAGGATTTTATTTGATATTCTGAAGGTATATTAGTATACATAAAATTTCTCCGAACTGCAAAAAATTTTTGATCACCGATATATGATAATGAACATGAATATTAATACAAATTATCTTACGCAGCATCATATTAGTTTGTAAACTTAATTTTTAATACGTATAATAACTACATTTCTTCAAGTCCATATATTGTTAATAATAATATTGAGGTTCTCAAGGGCTATATTTAAATGTTCTCATTCATCTTTATGGCGTCCATGAATATCGCTAATATCATGAGTAAGGCTATTGCCAAACTATATATATTTTAACTTGAATTTTGCTAGAAAATGAAATATAAAATTAAAGAATAAAAACAAAAAAAAAAGTGGTTTTAGGTCAATCAATATTATTAAACTGTGGCATTATGAATAATAAATTGAAATATAGTCTCTGGCTGAAAGGAAGTGATGTTTACGATAACTAGTGACTCATTCATTGCGTAAGCTTGAAGTCGGATACACATAAATATCTTGATTGATTTCATTTGCATGCATGTATAGCAGTCAAAACATGTGTTTGTTAATGTGTATAAGCATCAATAATAAAATTTCTATTTCTGTTTTAGGCGCATTCGTCTAATCAAAATGCACAGCAAATTACAGAAAATCCAATGCTTAACTTGGAAATTGGTGGCTTAGTGACTACGATGGAAAAATCATATCTGCAAGATACATCTCCTCCTTCATTTATTTCCATGGATGCTTCCACTGATCGCATGAATAACTCACTTATTACATCTGCAGACTTTTCCAATCTGAACTTCTTGCAGTCTACTAACAGTTTGGATTTTAATGCTGCACTTGAAAACGGCGAATGTGTTTTCAATCTAAACGATAAAGCGACCAGTGATGGTTATACCTTGAGTGATATGATTAGAGATCGCAAAGCATTGGAATCATTAACTATGTCCAGCGATGGTACGCTTATCAAAGATTCTCACATTGGTCAAATTGACGATATATCTTTGAATCTAAGCAAAACGGCGTCAGGTTGTAGTACTATGGATAATTCGACTGAGAGTGTAGAGGGTGCGAATCGTACAATAAGAAATCTCAATATGGATCGTACATTAGACTTGGGTGCTTGCAATAACTTTAAGACTGGTAATGAAAACCTTCATCGCACAATGGTGCTAGCAGATGAAATGATTGGCGATATTACATACAATCTTGTGGAAAGCGGTACGTATGGAAATACAGTTAACGAAAAACCATCTGCCATTATAAATCGCGTGTCTTCGAAAGGATCAGCCCAATCATCAAATGAAGAGAAACCATCTGCCCTCGATGAAACAAAATGCCTTTCAACATTTGCTGCCGTTAAGGCTGTTAATACGACATTCGATTTGCATTTAAATGTTACACCGGATGGAACACCCGAATGTTTGGAAAAGAATATGGCCGCTATGACATGTATCGAATCCACACCTCATACAACTACTTTACGTCCCAACAAGAAGCTCTTCACTCCGCCCCTCGAACTAGCCGACAATATATCATTAAAAAGCGGGGCTTCTTTGAACCTCTCTGATCGGAAATTTAACGAAACATTTGATTTAAACGAAAGTAAAGGTGAAAGCAAAACTAAGCCTATCAATGCGGAAATTTTTATGGGGAAACTGCTAGATACTCAGCAGTCGATGGAGATGATAGATGATATTGAAAGTCCGCATGAGACTTTGAACAGGACATATAGATGCAGCGTTAACGAAAACACGGCAAGAAAAGAAATGCAAAACGTAATGGACTTGGCAGAAGCCGAGGCAAATTTGTTGGCGTCGAATAACAATGAAGAAGAGTTTGATCATATGCTGAATGAATTTAGTAAAGTGGAATTGAATGCAGAACAATTGAAAATGAAAAAGTCACTAGATTCTATTAAAAAACGTTTCAATTACAGTTCGTGTCGAGAAAAAAGTCACAATGAAACATCCTCTAGTACAGATGATGAAAGCCATCATTCCAAAGAAAACCTCAATGCTACCATTAGCCTACGCAACGGTCATGATAACGAAGAGCAAAAACCATTCAATGAAAGGCTAACAGAATGCTCTCCAGTGCTAAACGAAACGACTGAAATACAGAAAAACACTTCCAAAGAGTGTACATCCGGTAATATGAACGATTCGAAGAGTTCAATACATTTATCAAATGGCCTTAACGTGTCTTATGTGAACAGTTCAAGTAATAGCAGTGAACGTCTTCTAAGTAGACGGAGTCGCCTCTACGATGATATTAATCTCTTGAATATAACTACATCAAATCCGAGATTGCCTTTAACGTCAACGTCATTCACATTGCCCAAGGACGACAGCGTGACACGTGCGAACGAAACAAATGAGACTGAATATACGATGAATACTATGGGCAGTAATAATTATCAAAGCGACGATGTAGTGGTAGCTACTGTAGTTGAAGAATGCGAGATACCGTCTGACGGAACAGACATAATTCCACGAGCAAATTATAATCAAGACTCGCAGGTAATCCATTATAGGCTAGCGGAAAAGCGTGAACGTGATCGAGATCGGTTCAAAACTATTAATATTACTAAGAATCGTAGCGGTGGCGATGAAGCTCCTATAAAACCTGAACTAAATGTGCCTTGTATAGATGATTGTTATGACCAGCAATTACAGTTAGATATCGAGAAAGATGATTCGCAGCCTAATAGTCAAAGAAATTCCCGATGCGATGGTTCCGATTCGCCTGTTTCTTATAACAATGAATCAACGGCGGACACGGAAAACGCTTCCAAAGTCAATACAAATTATTTAACCTACAGAAAGCCTAGAGAAAAACAATCAGTCATTCGAAACTTGCCAGAAGTCGCTCCTCTTATTTCGACTGCAGCACCAACAGAACAATCTGCTGCAAAGCCACGTTCATTATCAAGACCTCGTTACATAAGTGGATTAACTAAATTTAGCGCGGTCAGCAAAGCGACTTCTGCCGATGAATTAGAAAAAACTGTCCATCGTCAAACGAATGCAAATACTAAAACATCAGGATTAGGTGGTCCGACCAAAATTTCAGGCACTCGTATATCGGTTAACGTGAACAAAACTAAGGGGTGCAGTGATCTTAAAAGCCCCATGGGCATCAAATCAAAATCGTTTCATAATTTATCGGGCAATATAACTGGCGTATCGGCAATTAATAATAATAATGGAGTTTCGACCGCAACGAAAACATTTGGTTTACGAAAACCCAACAGTATTGGTAGTGGCTTAGTAAGTACTTTTCCTTACGCTATATATTTTCATTATATAGTAACACTGACTGACCGCGAGTAACACAAACCTGAAATCTGTTTAATTTATTTTAATCTTCTTTCGGCCACATGCAATGTTAGAGATCTCAACATAACGTTTTTAGTTAATGGCGGTTAGTCTGTCTATTATCAAAGATTTCCGATTTTTGAAAATGAATTAATTATTTTAATTAATTTAATTTACAATATTAATATGCAAAAATCTTTTAGGTTAAACCCAATCAAGTACGACATTCGACGATGGGAAGCCCTAATAATTTGCAACAGCAAGCTACTCAACAGGTAAATGTAAATATAAATCAAAATCTTTATTATTTGTATATTATACTTAATTTTTTTACCTTAAGCCATCTGTAATAAATATGTGTAAGGTTTATGCAGAAACATTCAATACTCTGAAGACCATGAGATAGACCGATCTCTTACTGTACTAGTCGACGCAGATTCATTATGACCTGAACTATTTATGATAAGAGAGTATGTAAATTTATGCGGATGTATGTAACGTCCAGAAGGTTCTTAAAACAAACCGGCTTTCTATTATACCGATCGATTCAGAATCACCTTAAGACTCGATTTGAACTTCTCTGTCTACCTGATGTCTGTTGTCCATCTATTCTTATGTTGAACTTTTGAGATATTTTGATAAATTTCGTACACTAATTTGCTAGGACGAATCGTATTAATTGGTTGTTGGGATCGAATCACTTGGGAATTCTTTAAACACCCTTCTCCATTTAATATATTTTATTTGAATTGGAAGTGAATTTATTATGTTGGTGATGCTTTTTTTTTGCAGAAAAAAGATGATTCAGTATTTAAGGTTCCGAAGCTTGTATCTGGTATACGAACGTCTGGCAGTGGCGGAACTAACGGTGTTCCAAAGCGTGCTGGGCTTGTGCGACCTTCATCGGGTTATTATAGTCTTAATGTGACGGCTAAAAGTGCTCAACATCCCACGGGCGATCTAGAGTCCGACATTGAAAGACATTCCCCCACAGATGTAAGTATTGAAGTAGATTGTAATCGTGATAGTTTTGAAAGGCTTTTCTTTTTTTTAAACCTTTTTTTGTTCATTTTCTTCAGAGTATGTCTTCGGCATCTTCATCACACAGTCTTACTAAGCAGTCTCAAGCCGTTAAGCCTCCCAATGCTATAGCACAGTTAACAGCTAAAGCTGTAAATGTACCGGCAAATCTAACGAAAGTTACTATTGGTTCCACAGGTATTCCCAAACCTTCTGGCCTAAGGCCCCCATCGAATATTAAACGCAGTGGTCTTCCTCGGCCGTCTAGTTTTATAAAAGCCGAGAAATAAATTTCAAATTTTCCAAGTTTTTTTTTTTCCCCCAATTTTTTCTTTTCCTAAAAAAACGAACCATTCACTTAATCGTTTTTTATTTATTTATATTTTTATTTTCATTTTTTCTTGTAAATTAATTATAACATTTTGCATTTTATGCACACCGCGAAATCTACATAATACAAATATATGTTTCGCCCGTAAGTTGGCTAACGTTCTAATCACAGAATTGGAGAGAAGAACGTTGTAATCAAGACATGGCAAGTAAAAATTTTCTGCATTTTTTTGTTTTGTTTCGTCAACAGCCGACGTTTAAAAACGAACGAAACTTTTAGTTGCGACTCTTCACTTTTCAGTTTATAAGAATAAATATATATATGAATGCAAATTACTAAAGACTATTTAGATTTCCTTTTGGAAAATATTTACAAACAGACTTTTTTTTTTTTCTACTTGAGATATTTAAATCGTAAAATTAGTTGCTATTAGGGTTCTTTTTGGTCGTTCTAGTTTTCGTTACAAACAATGCCGTTGGCAATATACAACATTTTGTTAAGAGAAGCGAAAAAAAAGCAATGCAATCTCTTGAAAAACACGGACTGAATGTTAAAGTATTAAAAAAAAAAAAAAAAGAAGTTCATTGCATCGCATTTTTCACTGATACCCCGAAATATCTTCATGATATTGTATTAGCGCGTACTTTAATTTAATGCGTATTCTTATTTAGAACTGAATATCATAATTTTAGTATTCATTCATTCATTGCTATCTATTGATTCGTTTATATATATATAAGTGCCAATTATGAGTTCGTTTGCTTATCGGAATGAAATTAATGGAATTCAAAAATGAGATATTTGAGATTGGATTAGAAAGGCCACACAAATAGGTATACCTGATTATATTAGTAAATCATTGGCTGCATAACTGCTTTGAAAAGTTACGCCAAATCGATGTATTAACAATTTGACAGACCTGACATAAGTACACGAATATGCATTCACTCATGCATACTTATATGCATACCTTAAATAACAGAAACATAAACACATACATACATATATACCTATTATTATTAAATATTAATAACTACGGTCTTGCTAATCTCAAGTGGGAACAGTTGAAATAACATTTCCGTTTAACCGTCTTCTGTTGCTATGTATTCGTTTTATTACATTATCGTAGATATTAGTTAACGCTATGATAATACCATAATTTTGTTAAAGGTTTGCTTAACATGCATCGAATTTATATTTTGAACTGTTGCTTTATTATAATCTTGAATATTGTATTAATTTACTATAATCAGCCATAGGTATATATATATATATACAAATAAATTGTCCACTCGATATTTTGAATATCCATCACAAAAATACTTGCTCTCTTCTCTCTCTCTCTCTTTCTCTCTCTCTCTTATTCATATGCTTAGCTAAGAAGACTAACTTTCAAGAAGGTTTACTCTAGTTTTCTCAGCAACGTGCTCATAAAGTAACACGCAGTGCACTAATTATCGAGTGAACAATTCTTACTTTTTCTTTTTCTTTGTTTTTGTTTTTTTTTTTGGATTGTAGCCCGTCTACTTTGCTCTCATTAAGATTGATTTTTATACATACATGAAGCTCTGAGTTTTTTTCTTTTTTACTACCTGTTATTATTTTTTGTATTTTTTAATTATTTTCTATATTATATATTACCGCTAAGTATTGAGCAGTATATACATACACAACACACAAACACACACACACAAACTCACGCATACACAACCATATATATATATATATATATATATATATATACATGTTTATAAAATTATAAATAAAAATATCCAAAATACAAGCAAAGAAAATAAGTTTTATTGCAATCGCGATGCAGTTTCGATTATTCGCTATGCAGCAACTAGAGCGTATTGAAATGCAAATATGGATTGACTTTAAAAGGATATCGTTCCCTCGAGAGCTAAATGCGCTTGCACAAACTTGTTAACTTACATTTATTTTATTAAGTGCGTAAGTACGTCTCGCTTTCTAATAACTCGACTCGATAATCGCAAGCAATAGCGACATTTTGCATTTCCTTGAAACCATATGTCGTTGGTATTGGATTTGTCAAAAGTTGAAGAAAAAAAAAAAGAAATGATAATCACCATAGCGTAGACGACGTAGTAATCTATGAATTGGTATTATGATCAAAACTATCGCTTACATCTGCAACGTTCTATTCCTGCTTGCATTTCATAAACAGATTGGAATTTTTTCACAAGAGAGATCAACAGTTAGCTTCGCGGAACAATGAAAATAATTTATATACTCTAACTAGCTACGACATGAAAAGTTAGTGTACGTGATGGAGAATAATAAAAATTCGAGCAATTCGTACAACTTTTAAAGACATCTGCGCTTGAATCCAATTTTTGATAAATCCAAACAACAAACAAATGTTATGATATAAAAAGGAGCGCAAATGGGAGAGAGATGTTGACATATGCAAAAATTCCATTTAAGCGGAAAAATGTACTAATTCGTCCACCCATCCCTTTTATAATTCTTGCATACAACGGCTTTATCGAATTTTTAACGAATTTTCCAATCAGGCGTTTCGCGTCGATTGGGAAAAGTTTCGCTTTTTATATCGACGCGTGGCATAGTATCGATCAACATTATGTCTATAAGATCACCGAAAGCTTAGAACACTTTTAATTTTGTTTTGAATGTATTTAAATTTTTTTTTTAGTTTTTTTTTTAACCAGATGTTTCATTATTTATTTACCATGTTTTTGTAAGTATTTCTGCCTTTGGCTCAGTTTGAAGTCTATGGAGTCATTATCATCATTTATTATTGGGGTGTTGCTTTTATTAAAGCTGCATAACAATCTACGCCGAATATATTCTATTAAAGATAATAAAGATTAATAGATAGGAAAGTGTTCACGAATCCGCATATTTGCCTAGAAGACATCCCTATCTATAGACAGGTCCTTAATGGGCAAAAATACGCTGCTCTTTTAGATACTCTCAAATATTTTTATTTTGCACAAATAAACAAAAAAGAAAAAAAAAACAAAGAAATGGAAAAAGTAGTGTGTGAAAATCGTTTTTATACAATACAATTAAATATATAAACATTAGAAAAATGAGTAAAAATTGATAGCTAAAGACAATGACAATAAAAAAAAGGACACAAATCCATATATATGGTACATACAAAAAAAAAAAAAAAAATTTCATAAATACATAATAGGGCTAATCATAAAGGAAAGAAGTATCCTAATTGCCTTCTGAAAGTGTATCACAAAGAAGCAAATCAATAGTTTATGTACAGATCAGAAATGCAAAATTTCCGAAAACAAATTAGGAAAAATCAATAAGACAGAAAACAAATGAAATGCTCGGGGGACTAAAATGTGAAAATTGTGTTATGAGTCGAAAGCTTGTTATTAAAAATGACGGAATTCATATTGCAACAAGTGCAGCTCTATAGAAATGCGTTCCGATTGATTAAGAATGATGATAAGCAGCAATATATTTATTGTTTATTTGGAATGTTTTGTTGTGACTGTAACATGGCGTCGGCATTCAAGGGTTGTTGCTGTGGAATGTTATTATTTAGCAATGGTTGTGGCTGGTTTGGTGCGATCTGGGATTGCTGGGCTGCTCGGACGTTGTTTTGTTCTTGTGGTGAAATGTTATGACCAACTGGTTGTTGTTGCTGCGGTAACGGATTATACGCAGCTGGCTGCTGTTTATTCTGTGATGGTATTTTGTTTGACATTTGTTGCTGATGTGCAGATGTATTAGGGATATTTTCTGGTTCTTGTTGAGCGGGCACATGTTGGTAAACTTGGTTAGGATTAAGTTGAATCGGTTGATATTGTTGCGGTTCACGTTGTTGATGCTGATAATGTTGCGGTTGATTTTGATGATGTTGATATTGTTGCTGGTTTGGTATTTGCTGTTGAGCTTGCTGGTAATGCATTTGCCGCTGCTGAGGATGGCCTGATGGATTCTGTTGATATCCTCCTGGTGCGTTATTTGGATAATAACCTTGAGGCATATTAGGATGGGCCGGGAGCTAAAAAATCAAAATCGAAACAAGATCATAGCCATTTTCAACGTAAAATAAAATCTCGGTCTCCAAAATTAAACTTACCATTCCTTGAGCAATCATCCGATCGATTTCCTCTTTGCGACGACGCTCAAATTCTAAATACTCTTCGTGGGTATATTGTGGCTGCTGATCAACAGTTTGCCATTCAGAATCTCGGTTGAACTCTTCGCGCTTAGTTTGATCCAAAAATTCTTGGAAGCTAATCAACCCGTCACGGTTAGTATCACTTTCTTGGAAAACATGTTCTCGCATGCGTTCCATTTCTTCAGCTCGTTCACGCATATCATCCTCGGGCATATTAGATTGATACACTTTATCTAATTCTTTAATAAATAGCGCCTTCACCTCATTCTCGTCCCAAAAACCATTTCCATCCACATCTGCATATAAACGTGTACATATATACATATATTACGCATCAAATAGCTTTACGAGAGTCGCAGTTTGTATAAATATTTACCATGAATCATAAAGAAAGAATGAGGATCGAAATCTTGTCGGTCCATATGATCTTGCTTTTCCCATACTTCCTCTAATTGTGCTTTGTTTCCTGGCTGATGAATTTTCTCATGTGTTTTATGCTTTTGTTTTAATTCATCTTGCTTACGCTGGAATTCTTTACGCTGTTCTTCGTTCATTTCCTGTAAAGCCATTTCACGTTCGAATTCTTTTTGCATTTCATATTCTTTAAAATCGGCTCGTCTTTTACGATCAGCTTCGGCCAAGTCTTCCGACGTTTTCTTAATCAGTTTCAGTAAATCCTCAATTTCAAAAGAATGCTCATTGGCATGATTTAAATGCTGCGGAACCTTAAGATGATCCCGATCGATATCATTACTCAGCTCGTACTGTTTATTGGCCAGAGTACGTAAACGTTCCAGTTCACGTCGTTTAATTTCGTCCAATTTTGTGCGTACATGATGATTTACATAATCCAACTCTTGAGCAATCTTTCCGCTCTATAAATAGATTGAGCAATAATACGTTTACACTAATAACTATGCGATCGTACTTAAAACTTAACGATTATTTACTGAATTCAATTGATTCTATGAATGTTAACCTTGGACAATAGGCCTCAATTACTATTACTTATGCTATACATAACGGGGTATTAACGCTCACATTTTTCTGCTTTCTGATGTCTATCAGATATACGCAGTATCTGGAGTATCGTCTATTAAATGAAAGGTGAATTTTAAACCGAAACTTTAAAAAAATATTCATAGTAAAGTTTGATTTATTCGCGACAAGAAAAGGAAAATATTTGTTCTTGCCTTTCATTTCATTACGCCCCTACCTTTAAAACTTTTTAGCGAATTTGCAACCGTTTCGAAAAGCCTTTGGTTTGGTTTGTTCGTTCTAAAACACGATATGGAAGAACAAAGTAAATATCATGTTTAAACCTCTGCCATCGAATTATTGCAAAATACTTTTCTTCTGCAGATACAAGCATTCAAATGCAAATAATTTATATGTATAATAATTATTATATTTACTTTTCTTATTTTTATTTTTTTTTATTTGTTGGTTTTGAGATTAACTGAATTAACTAACCCAGTACGGATATAGTCTATAAGTTAACTCAAAAAAAAAAAAAAGTAGTGCAATATTATTGAAGGGAGAAAATGATCCATTTTTGCAATTAAAAAGTAAAAAACTATGTGTTTTGTGGTGAGAGCTACTAATAAAACTGAGAATTTGTTGTGTTTTGTGACGGAAAAAATTAAAACTTACTCTAATATCTGCTTCAGGAGCTTTATCTAATTTTTTACGAAAGTCCGGATCACTTTCCAAAGCCTCTACCACCTCTTTTAAGTAACGCTCATATTCCAAAGCTGTTTCAACATCAGGAGTCTCCGGAGCACTCGTTGCTTCGTATTCGCCTTTTTTCGTTTTAGTTACAGGTAAGGCGTGAATTGAAATTGCCCACACGACAAGCATAGCTGCCATAACTACGCCGTATCCCAATAACGCTTTCATAATGTTCAGTATTTCGATAAACTATTTTCATAAATAGTTGAAATCACGGATTTGATATTCAAGATTGATTGATGCGAATGAATGCTCGATTGTTTTTCCTTTAAATTTAATTTTCAAAGAGAACCTTAGCACTTGCCCTGATTGGAAAGAAACTAGAGAAAAATCTGACGTGTCTCTCGAGCGGAATACAAACCATATGTTTCTTTGTTTATTTAGGTATACAGCAGCACAGTGATTTCTTGTTTGCTTCTCCGTTTTTTTTTTTACAACACAGATTGATTGATTTACTTCGTTTACCCTACGCTATTAATCAAACGTGTCTTTCGTCTCTCTTTCTCTGAATGTATATTAAAAAGAATAAACTGCCATTTTTTTCGAATTGAATAAACATAAGCCAATACCATGCTATAAGCGAATTTAGGTTTTAGAGTGGAATCATTTTTATTTGACGTTTATTGAAATGCGAGTAAAATTGTTAACAAATACGTTTTGTACTTTTTTTTGCAATCCTGTTTGAAGAATTTCGTAAATCTGAATTCTGTTTTTAACGACTGTGTTGCAATTTTGACAAATGGCAACCTGATCAACACTCTGCATGTTGCAATATTATAATTCGGCTTTTGCTTGGCTTGTGGCTTGCATTCAAAAATATATATAGTATATAGTAGATACTTTTGGACATATAAGCTACAAATCTATTGGCTTAGTCCATCTGCATTCAACGTACCGAAAAAAAAAAAAAAAATAAATAAATAGTAGATACTCGTATGTGTTATGATAGGTTTCTCACTTGGAAAGTGCATTTATTGAGAAATATTGATAAAATATGTAATAATCGAAATACTTTCCATTATTTGCTATAATTTTTCGCATTTCTCTGGCGACATGGTGATACCGTGAT